GTCTTATTATTTTTCTTCTCGTTTTAGATCAGATGAACTTTGTCCGAAGATAATCTTTTCACGTTTTCAATTTTAACACGTTTCCTCTCATTTCAACCTTTATTCCAAGATTATCCTTATCCTGTCTTTTTCTCCTTATTAACACCAATTTTAAGAATCGAAACAAGTGTCGCCTATTAGCAGGGTGTCTCAACCGAAGTCTATCCAAAGGAAAAAGTCACGCTTGATGTTCTGATAAAATGCTTTTTAAATGTTAATCGAGCACCAACACCGGTGCAGCAAACAATCGTTGAGAAAACTTTAACCAGCCAGTCATGTTACGTAATGTATATACATAGTATATATCTCACAGTCCATATAATCGCAAGTGTGCCGTGTTAGGTAGAGGTATAATTGCAATATCGTCGCTTCGACCAGTACTAGCGACCGTCGATGGAAAATTTGTTCATCCAGATTGTCGTTTCGCGGCCTAACGAATCGTCCGAACGTCACGTTCGTAGGGTACAAGTGGAACAAGAGCGGATTACGAATTGATACTCGGCTGAAAATGGCCAGACACGTCCGTATACGTGCACAACGGCAAATTTATGTCCCCGGTTTCATTCCCTTTAGGAAATATTAGTCTCGAGCCGCACGGTTTGAATTTTCGAGCGAACCAATAGCCTCGAGCGAGCTTTGATTAACGTTCAAGCATCCATCATCGACTGGATGCGAAATCATTCGTTCAGTCCAGCTGCTCGAGGGAACTCCCGACCGCTGTTTGCTCCTCTAAAAAGATTCAAGGATTCTTATTAACCTGTGCGTTAATAAACGGATACACGTTTCCGCGATGACGTTCCAGAATTTTGTCGAGATATTTGAAAAATAAATAAGAAAGCGAACCGTGGATATCGCTAAAATGGATACCGATATGGCTGACAATTTCCCGGGATGGCAAAGCCGGGAGAAAGGCGCGAAGCGACAAAGCTGGGAATGACAGTAACGCGGAGAAAATCGGATTGGCCTGTCCGGCGGACAGGGAACGCCACCGTGGAAGGCGAACGATAATGTAATGCCGTGATCTAGATTAATGGTAACGCTGCCGGCACCGTCCCACGCGCACCGGTGTCCTCCGCGAAGAGCGAGCGTATCCGCCGGTAGCTACATTATTCATAAAATGAAGAAAAAAAAAGAGAAAGAAAGAAATAAGGGAAGGAAAGAAACGCGCGGACGCTGACCAGCGAGCAGACGAGAAAATCGACGAGAAAATGCAGCGAGCCGAGGCGAGTGAGCGAGCTGTGTTACGAGATTGCGCGATCATTCAGCGGACCTCACCGGCGCTTCCGGCTGCTGGTTTTAATAAAGCGATACGTTAGATCGGTCTTCCGTGACCAGAGACGTTGAAAAATTATATTCCTACGTGCTTCGCTCTGAGAAAGGGTTTAACATTGTAGAAACACTTAGTTGAATGGAATATATGGTGAACGGAAGTTCAAATATTAACATGTCTGATACCAGCACCACCCTATGTTATACGGGTTCAAAATCAAACTCTGTGAAAATATAAAATCAGAACCTGTTCAAAATCGCTCAAAATATTCGGGATGCGTGTCGGTTCCTCGTGTCGTGTTCTTACTGCATTAGTCAACCAGCGCATGTCCTAAAGGTTCGTTCTGTGTCGTATATTAAACCGGTGTCCTCGCCGCGCCGTGGCGGGATTAACCGGAGCGGCCTCGCGATGCTGTAAATTATTATTTCCACGATAAAAGCTTGTCCTTCCCGGCTGAGATGCCCGTGAATGGGTTAATTAATGTGAGGCACCGATAAACGATCCGCTTATGTCTTCACTGATGCCGACTTAGGAAGATGTTCGGAAATGTTTTATTTCAAAATGAAAAATCGCTGATCCAACGGTCGTGGATGAAGACGCGCGAACCCGCAGGAGTTCTCGAGGGGAGACGTGAGAATTCGTGTGGTGTCTCGCGTGTCGGTGGGTTCCTCGCGAGCAGGAGCGTAGGAAAGAAAGCGTAGGGAGCACGAAAGAAAGCAGCGAGCTCTGGTCCACGGCGAGAAGAAGCTCACGGACGAAGGAAAGAAAAGAGGAAAGAGCGGGGCAATCCACGTGCTCCACGGGTGCCCGAGTGTGCGAACGCGCGGCAAGCGGTCCTCCGCGCCGCGAGTAGTCGCGCGTATAAAAGATTTCCGACTCTTTGTGGCGAACTGGTACAGCGAACTGAAAAGCCTGGCTGGCCGGTCGCGCTTAGAATACGCGGCTCGTATTGTATAATAATGTATCGCATATGGCGCATCTTGTAAAACTCTGCGGGCGTCCTCCCGCCCCTCCTGCGAGCACGGATGTGCGAGGAAGGACGGATGGAAACGTGAATGAGGTTATTCCCGGTCGTGCGAAGCTCGTTCATTCATCCATCGACGGGCAGCCCTCTATTTTACGGGCTACGAAGACACGGTCGACGAGTAAGGAATTGCCGAAATACAACGTTTGCACCCCTCTTTAGCCAGCCTTTCTTCAGGCTCGAATTTTTTTTCCCCTCTCCAAAGGAGAGGATCCTGGTCCCGGGGGACCCTTCACCGAGGCGTTCGGGCCTAACCCCAACTCGTGATGGGTTAACGAAGCGAGAAACTTGCTGCCAGGACCTTCGATGATGCTGTTTCCAATGGTTTTACGATGGGTTCCCTGTTGATATTGCCGGTGTAATTTGATCTTTGGTTATAGAACGCTCGAAACAATTGCGGGATCGAGTTACCAAACAACTTGAGATAAGATAAGCAAGGATGGAAACAAGTATATAGCATTTCATTTAGTGTTGAGCAACAAGTGTTCGAAAATTACATATAATACCGAGTACTGTTAAATCGAAAAGTTTCCATAAAAGTATTCTATTGCCGTGTAAATATGAAAGAAGGCCACAAGTCCATTACCCAACACGGTTCAACGGATCCGATTAGGTGAAAGTACGAGGTCTTATCCTGCTGGGCGCAAACCAGACTACCGCAACCATTGTGTGTACCAGGATCGGGTCCTGTCAATAGGATCAACATCCGATAACAATGTGTCCCGAGTCAAGAGACCCTCGGCAGCCTGTAGACTCGTAGCCGTGGCTAATCCATTAGATTAGGTTTAGGTTTTACAGGGACCTGGTCGAATCCCTTCGAGTTTGATGGCTCTGTTTCGTTGTGGACCCTCGACACCCAGTGCTCGAGGACAGGGTGCCGAATGACTGGCTACTTTGCTCAGGTTGTTTCGTTTGTGTCCTGCTGAAGAGGTGTCGACAAGCTTTCACGCTAACTCTTCTGGACACTTGAATGGGACCGTTTGCTTGTCGATGATGCTTTTAAAATGGAATATTTTTCTAATTCGATCGGAGATGCTTGTCGGACGTGACGCGAAGGGAGAGAATCAATTTAGACAGGCGCCTGTAGTCCTGATATCGATAAGGCTGTGAGAGAGGTGGAAGAAATTAGGTTGCTGTGCATCAGAAAATATTTTTATGGCCCTCGAAGGTTAATAGAATTCCTGTATTAAAATCGATCGCATATTACTCCTTTTCGAGCGTATGCATACTGAAACACGAGAAATTCTAGAACAGCATAAACGAACGGAATCGTTATTTCATCCTGCAACAACGAAACTCGTTATGCCGGGGAGGCTTCACGGCTTGTATTCCCGTTCGCGATATCTGATCCTTATTCAGCATTTTCTCGTTTTCCAATTGCTGAGATCGTTGTTCCACGGTGCGTGTACGATTTCGTGTAACCACATCCTCCTTTTGTTTTCCATCATTTCCCCCGTTAGCTCGATCGATATCTGCTTCATCCGACATGATTTAAGAGAACCAATTTATCCGGAAAAACATTTCCTTTTACAAAGTTCGACATTTTTACGTTCATCCCTTTGTATGCCGGCACGGATCGCAACGGTTAACGAACTATTTATCTCTGAACGTCGGTGGTGAAATTTTTCAAACGTTTTAGAGAGGATGGCTAGGTTTCGTTCGACAGTTTCGAGCGTCAAAAGAAACGGGGATGGCACATATTTAAAGGCGGCACGCCAGCTAGCCAGGAGTGGATGCAACACGACATCAGGGTTATAAGATCGGCCACGTCTCTATCTAGGTTCTTTAGTACGGCTGCGAGGGGACGCAATATATTTGGTAGGTGGAGAGTGAGATAGGTGGTTAGGTAGGTAGCCGTGGTGGATGTCGGGTAGATAGTCGACCGGCTTCGGTAATGGAGACTGCAGGGTGCCGCTAATGCAGTAGCGATGTCACGGCGCCCGTTGCATCGGTATATTCCTTCCCTTTCCGCCCTTTTGCTTCTCCGCGGTTACCATACGTGTCCCTTCTTACCTTTGCGATATCAACCGGCTCCTCTAACGTGTCTCTGTTCTTCTCTCCGCGGCTACGAGCGGACATCTCTCTGTCGGTCGCCGGGTTTATCTGACTCCGTGGCCTTTTTTTCTCGATTTAACGGAACCACCGTATCTGGGGAGACACGGAGGATATCTCGGACGATGGGAAACATTCTCCGCGCGGATGTGTTTGTATCGTTTAAAGTGAATGGAAAAATGGGCGCCGCCTGTTGCATCCCGCGGTTACGATAATTTCTTGGTTATTTTTGTTATGGCCGTCGCGTCGCGTCGGCTCGTTCGATTCCACCCGTGCGTATCCCGGTGTCGGCGAGTGTTGCTCGATTTCTTCGATTCGTTAATTAGCCTGATTCAAAAAATACACCTCCTCCGTCGTTCGTGGACACCGTTCCGCGAGAACGTTCGAGGAACGACGTCTTTTGTTTAGGATTTTTTAACATCCACGATAGTCTTGCAACTTGGACTCTCCAGATCAAGGTAATTTCAAAAAAGAAGAATCGGAAGAATAAAAGAGACGTCAGGTAGTCAGTGTCTTAAATTCAATTCTCAAGAGGCACTGTTTCTCACGAGTTTCTATAACTTTGAAATTGTTCGATTATTAACCATTACTAATTGTTAACTATTTTTGTTTCAGAATGTTCGGCAGCATGAAACGATGTGCCCGATGTCAAGCGGCGATCTTAGCCTCCGAGCTGGTGATGCGAGCCAGAGACCTGGTCTTCCATGTCCGTTGCTTCTCCTGCGCGGCCTGTGCCGTTCCGTTGACCAAAGGCGACCATTTTGGCATGAGGGACGGCGCGGTGCTCTGTCGATTGCACTACGAAATGGGCGCGGAGTTACATCCATCCCAAAGTCCACCTGTTCCGGTTTATCCGCCAGGTCCCCATTATCCTGGTCAACCGTTTCCCTCGCCGGAATTCCTTCATCATCATCATCATCACCCCACGCATCCCCCTCATCCCCATCACTCGATGCATCCGCAACATCCTCACAGTCACGTGAGCCCCGTACCGCTTCAACCGTCGACGCCGTCGGTACCCGACGCCGGTTCACCCCCCAAAGTACCGTACTTCAATGGCGCCGCAGTCGTGCCGCCGCCCAGACAAAAGGGCAGGCCTAGAAAGAGGAAGCCTAAGGACCTGGAGGCTATGACCGCGAATATAGGTGAGTGAAAAAGACAAAGTTTAAAATTTTTATTCATGAAATTGCTCGACATTCTACGTATCAGGCAAAGAGGGTATTTTAAAGTTGATGGTTTTGATGGAGGGTTGTACCTCGCGGGTTTGAATCGCATCCCAATGTAACAACTAAGGCGCACAGCACCTTCTCGTTCCCGAGAACAGTCGGCTACCTGAAAGAAGTTGTCCGCTCGTGTTCAGATATCGCCTGCGTTCCTTCTAATTATATCGCGCGACGAGATGTCCGCGTAACGCGGTTGATTTAGCGGCGCGAACTCGCAGGAAGCCAAGCGGTGAATTATCGACCGTACCCTTTCGCAGCTGGATCGTTTTCGCGAGGATTTTTCGTTATTCCAGCGCACCGGCTGGACCGACACGATGGGGCGATCGCGATCCAGCACGAAAATTCCTACACGACGGACCGCGGTCCCGTCAGAGATCCTCCGCGCGTACGCGTGTCCCGGATACACGAATGCAAGCGAGCAGGCCCGCTACGCCCGAGGGTGATTTACGGGCGCGCGTGGGCGCTCGGTGTTTGCCACCGAACCCTGATAAAATTTGTCGCCGCGACATAAATTCACGAATCCAATTCCAACAAAGCGTGTACGTGTCGCGCGTGGGCGAGTGAGCGGAGCCAGGCCGAATCGCGGCAGCTTCCATCTACCACTTCGAGAACTTCATTTCGATTGTTGACCGACCGTGGGAACACAGGGCCACGCAGGACGAAACGAGCCACGACGAACCACCGGCAGTGTCTACCCTGACCAGTCCTCTCTTCTTCTTTTTCCCTTTTCGGTGAAAAAGATCGTGCCTCGCCTCGGCTCGCTTGCGTACGCGGACGATGATGTCCCGACGCCACGGATCCTCGGATGACTAGAGATTATTTCTTCTTTTTCGCGTTGCTCGATGGAGGCTGGCCGAAGGAGGCGCGAGAATTTATCGTCGGGAATAAAATAATTTGATAGGGGCTGCTTCGACGATTGGACCGTTTCGTCGGCAAGGTCGTCAGGCTTCTTGTACCATTCGAGTTCTCGATGCTTTCCTCAGCTTCTTATTTTCCTTTCAAGTCGTTTCTTCTTGCTTTCAGAAAATTTTCATTCTCAAAGATCCTCGAGGGTTATATACGAAGTATTAATTTAAAATTTCTTGAAATTTTCTGATGCTATTTATTCAGCAAGTTCATGGATACTTTAGAGGACGTTTAAAAAAAGGCCGCTTATCCCAGATTTTTACGCGATACCGTATCGATCTCGATCTTATCGAGCCGGGCATCGGCTATCGGGCGTCCCTTTATCCTGTAGGACGGCAAAGTCTCGAGGACAAGATAGGTATATGCCGGAATGAGGTATCGTGCCTACAAACTATTTGCTGCATAGAGTTGTAATTGGCCGTGTATCCACTGGTCTTTCGCATACGCTATCACCCTTCTTGTTTGCACTCGAGGAGCTAATGAGCTGTGATACACATCAAACAACGTTAGACTCGCGTCCAGCCGCATTGCCGCATCCGTCGCTTCTTCGTACTCGTCTTGAGAGTTTGCAATTGTTGCCGAGATAACTCCGTCATTGACGAGGATATCTGTGATTTCGAATCACTGATCCTTGATTCGAAAGTTTCAATGAAACTCGAGAAGTGTCGACTTTGAATTCTTAACAAAGAACGGTGGCCACTCTTGAATTTTCAATTCTTATCTCAGCTCGAAATACCGAAATAATTTCTTCAGGAATTTTGGTAACAATGCTACCACGTTATTGACGCTGGTGGTATCGAAAAGACGAACGGTGTTCGAGGCGAGGTATAAATCCAGCCGGGTCCAACCCTCGACGAGAGAAAAGATCCCCCAGGCTGATACAGAGTCCGATACGGGCGGCTTCAAAAATACCCGCGACACCGGTGTTTAATTAAGACGCATAATCCGGATGTCGGGGATTTATGTTGCAGATTTGAACGCGGACTACATAGATATGCCGTTTGGTAGAGGGGGGCCAGCGACTCCCGGCATACCTGGATCCAACAGCAGAACAAAACGAATGAGAACGAGTTTCAAACATCACCAGTTAAGGACGATGAAGAGTTACTTCGCGATCAATCACAATCCGGACGCGAAGGATCTGAAGCAACTTTCCCAGAAAACTGGCTTGCCAAAAAGGGTGCTACAGGTAAGCATCGATTCCTTCGATCACCAATCGTGCCAGTTTCTCTCTCTTCGTTTCAGATTTTAAATTGACCGGCTTGTTTTCTATCCGATATGGTTTCACGACGATACGCGCTAACTTTATGCTTTCCCTCCTTTGGTCGCACCAGCGTTTTTCTTTCATGGAAAATTAGCTGAGGAATTAATGTGCGCTCGCTTCAAATCGCTTTTCAATGGAAATTCGATGTTCGCTAATTTGTAATCTCTGTTTTTCTTCTCTTAAGTGTCAACTTCTTTTGTTATCCTGGGATAGTTTTATAATTTATCGTTTAGTAATTTGGGATTGTGAACGATGTTAAATTAAGATAAAATATAATTAAATATCTACCGATTATTAATCGTAGCGAATTAAAATAAAATTTTCCCGACTTTTGGTAGAGAAAGAAATAATGTAGCCGTGTGCATACTGTTGCACCAGCATCCTCCAATTAGTGCTCGGCGTCAATGACGCATGACGCCCTTCATAGACGCTAAAAGTGTCCCCAAGACCTTTGGGACGCCGTTTCGGACAGATTGTATCGTTGCGCTCGGTCGTGTTGTTCGATTCGGGCGGTGCCTTTGGAATTTATGCGACCGTGTTACGTTTATTTCGGCGGCCCTCCAAACACTCAGACAACTCGGTCGCGGGTTAAAGATAGAAGGGGTTGTTAGCGCGCGAAAAGCCCGGGAAAAATCCTTCTTCCCGTCGTACTTTCCCGAGATCCTGCCTTTCGATTCCGTCCGCACGATGAATCGTTTTTCAGACAGTTTCCTGATAAATGGGTCGATTGTTTTCTTAACTCCGTTTAGCATTCCACGAGATCGTTAATCAAAGGGATCTTTCTTAGGGACGTTTGTCATTGATAAATTCATAATTTTCTTTTGATCCTTCATTAGAAATTATTGTACACTTTCTTCTTGTACACTTCTAAAATTATTATACATTTTTAAATAACACATAAATAATTATAAAGTACTCGTGCAAAGGAACTAAAATCAAAACCGATCATCGATCTTCAATATTTCCAATCCCATCGGTTTTGCAAATGGTCCAGCTCGATCAACGTTTCTTGGAAGATGTCTTTCGTAGATATTCATCGTCTCAACGTAGCAAGGAACCATGCACCGGGTGTCGAGGCGCGGGCAGACAGAGAAGCCACCCCACAGCATAGAGGTTTCCAGTGTTGGGTAAAAAAAGACCATAGACACCGAGAAAAATCGCGGCTGGAAGATGGATAGCCGGTGGTGGTTCGATAGTTGTTCCTTTTTTCTCGCACCGTGCCGCCGCTTGGCAGCTCCTATAAAAATATTCACGTGCGGTCGAAACGCGCGGACGCGGGTGCACGGTTGCTTGCGTTCGCGCGCTCTTCTCCCAATTAGTGCGTGCTGCCGGCGGCGCGTTGAGGTAAAAGAACCGCGTGGGCCACGGTGATATTTCCGTCGACGAGCCTCTGTGGCCTTTCCCCGTAATTATGGCCCTCCGTCAATCCGCCGCTACTCAAAATCCCGGCTGTGGAAGTTTTGTCGTAACGAGCACCCACCATTGCCACCGTTGGACGCCCTCGTTAACCCACTATCGTTAAATTACACGGCCTAGGAACCGCTTGCGTGTTCACATCTCGCGTTCGCGCGCTTTAATTCGATCTTGGACCGACGTTCGATCTGGACGATCATCATCGGCTCAGGGGCGAATCAGTTAGCTTTCGATGACTGCTACCGGTCTTTTCGCCTCTGATCACGTTGTTACAAGTAACAATTGTTTCTTGTCCCGAGCTGCGTGGTTAGTTCTTTTATGGAGAATTAAAATTCTTTTTCTCGGATATTTCATTAGAGTGCTGTCTTAGAATTTCCAAGAAAGGGTTAATTATCGAACGACCAATTAGGTTGTTCTTTCATTCTTCACGAAAGACCTCCATCGAATTGACTGTTCTTTTTCAAAATAATAAAATCCCGAAAAATCTTCGCTGTTGCTCCGTTCGAAAGTGGAGACCGTCTCATCAGGGTTCATGCAGACGCGTTGACTCAATGGCGCCGGTAGCAGCCAAAGAAGATGCAGAGAAAGAGGAAAGGCTGGGGTCGTCTGGTGGGCCAGAGGGAGAAAGAGGAAGAGAAAGAGAGAGACAGAGGCTGCCTATTGTATTCGGTGCGGCGTAGGGTTCTTGGTCGCCATCTTGCTTGATATTGATCGCGAAACGCACGAATACTCGCTCATTCGCCGCGGCTGCGTTCGTCGTCGCTATCCTCTCCTCTCCTCTCGCCACCACCACCTTTACCAACCTATACAGAAACAGAAACACACACCTACCTAAACCGAGAAGCCACCTAGGTACGCGCGCGCCCGCGCTCGTTCATCGGAGGGAAAGAACGCTGGTGCACGCTCGTACCGCGAAGGGGAGGCCCGCGTTGTGTCGGTTGGAAGCCTGCGGTGCTTTTCAGTCCGCGGGGGAGGAGACTGTCTTGAAAATGGCGACGCCAGGGATCCGTGCATCGGGACCATCTTTTATCTATCGTTGAACAGGGGTAAAGCGGTGACAGAGGGGACAGAGTGGTCGACCGTGTGTCGTCGCATTATATATCGTTGCATTGTGCGGACGATGTAGCTATCCTAGCGGGTCCAGGCTGACGGGGCCGGTTACGCGTGCTCTGTTGCATTTAAATTATTCTCCACCTCATCCTCTTCTCGCCCCGCCACGCCGCGCCGCGCCCTGCCAGCCTGTCGATGAAGATGCATAGGAGCTTTTTGGTCCTTCGTCCACTCTCCTGTCGTCCTTCATCTTTCTTTTTCTTTCTTTCCATTCTACCCTCGTCGCGATTCTTTGGGAGGAAAAAACGATGCGTTTTTTGACGAGGAAGAGTTTGTTTTTCAGAAAGATCCTTTCTTTTTCGAATGCCTTCTTCGTTCGGATATTATCTATTGCGAATTAATTCTAAGGACCGAAAAGTGAAATTATACGGCTTGAAAATTGCAATCCCAAAAGGTGCACAAGTTCTACTTCAAAAAAGCATCGCAATGATTCTTCAAGTGCATCCACGCAGTGGGCTCGCTGATAAAAATCTCAACAACATTACACAAACATTAACAACACTTGAAACAGGAAAAAAAAACTGAGCTCGAAACTACGAATCCTCCCTTGCAGACATCGCGAGCCTTTCCTCCCGTCGTATTAATCCGTGTCGTCCGGTCGTGTGTTCGCAGGTCTGGTTCCAGAACGCCCGCGCAAAATGGCGGCGCATGGTGTTGAAGCAGGAGGGGAAATCGGACAAGTGCGACGGCAGCGTGGACGGCGGTTCCCTTGGCGACCTTGAGCTTTATGGGAACAGCACCGGAAGCGGTGGTCCACCGATGAGCCCTCCATTCATGTTGGGCGGACCGCACAGTCCTGCATCCTTGGCGTCCTTGGACTGCGCGTGATCCCTGAACTTCCGTTTCCGGGCCAGAACGATCGAGTGAATTCGCTGAGAGACACGCCGCGAAAACGGGAACCGCGACACGATGAACTGTTCGAATCCGGTGAATCCGCGTTTCAACGTTCCTCTCGAAAAAGGTGGGTCGCGTAGCTGTGATTAATTTCAAATCGCAGAAGTAGCGTCGTCGCGAACAGCGACGAAACGTTTTCTTCGCGAGCCTTCGGTTGTTTCACGACGAGAGCCTCGGTTCCTGAAGTGAGGCCTTTCATCGTCGGCAAAGCTCGTCGACCGCGTCGGGTTTCGTCGCGACAAGCACCCAGTGCTAAACGATCAAAGGTGAAAAGTGTTCTTCGTATCGATCGCGGCGAAGAGTGGATGTACCATAACGGATGATTAGTTGAAAGAATAGGAATCGTTGTATTTATTGTAAGCGACACACGATGAAGACGGTACTTTGATGATACATCAACCACACACGTACACGTACACGTACACACACACACACAGGAACGAGAGAAGATGACAGGGTGCTCCGATGTCGCCCATCACGAATGCGTTTGTAATTAGTTGTCGATGTCTATTTATTGGTTATAAGCGTTCTGAGGTAAGCCTAGCTAAGGGTTACAAACTTTACCAGTGCTGTGTGAAAATCCAACGTTTCAGGTCGATTGGGCCGAGGGGAATATAAATCCTTATCATCGTGGATGCAACTTAAGTTTCTCTTAGTTAAAAACAAGCGTAGAGGAAGAAGTGTTCCGTCACTCGACTCGTTTATCCATGCTTTTTATTTGTAAAAACATGAAGTTCCAAGAGCTCAGACAAACGATGGGCTCCTGCCTCTACGCTCACCCTTAATCAGGAGAAGCCTACGTTATAGCCGAATGAAATAACACGCGGATGATTATTGTCGTCGGACGAATTGGATGACGAAAAATCGTATCGAGAGTCTCGACACGATTCGATTAATTTGATTGCCAGCGTGTCTCAACGAGCTGGTGGTACGTGCGTGTTCGAGTGTCGCGTTCGTCAACGAAGAGTCATTGAAATCGTTAATGAAAAAAGTGGATACTTTAACGGTGTTTCGTATCGCGCGAAACGTTGGGTTTTAACGTCGAGTTAAATATATGAATATAAATATATAAATAAATAAATATATATATATATATTATTTATAAATAAATTCGGGCGCGTCGATCGCGAAAAGGACGTGTAATTATTATTAATTATTGCTCAATGAAAGAAACGAGAAATCGGATTGAAGAGGATAGAAGATGACAAGTGATAGGCTCGAATCGCGCCCGAAAGCGAATCCTTGACGTAATTTCACGTACTTGTTTGTAAATAAAGGACGTTCCTCGAGTTTCTTAAGGCACCGCTATAGGTTGTAGGGATTCTAATTGCATTCGGTAGCGGTTCTGTTAGGCAAGGTAATAATGATGATGATGATGACGACGATTATTATTATTATTATCACTCCTATTATCGATATCCTTGTAACGAACGGAACGGATTGTCTAATTTTACAAGATGATTTTTTCATTGAATATATTTTGACAATATACACGCTGCCTCTGTCGACTTTTTTCTTAGGCACCTCCCATCTGACTCGATCATCCTTCTGTCTAATTTTTAACACCTTCTCCACCATTGCTTCGTAACGTAATGTCACGTTCGTGATACACTTAAGAAATAAATAATTTTATGAACTACCTACATGATTCATCGTAAAAAATGAGTGGTAAGACTAATTAAGAAAATATAGACTCTAATGGGTCTAGAATAAAAATTTGTCACCTGAATGCATAGGAACGAAACGGTACATCAATGACACGGTCGAGAACGTGTTCATTTTCCACACAGTCTGATCCAATCGTAAAGTTGATCTCGTTTCACGAATAAGAGTGATAAAAGTGCATGCTAAAAATTCAAAGTGCAATAAAAGAATGAAACTTCCAAGAGCGTACATACAGGCTCGTAAAAGTAGGTCCGTGATGAAAGCGACGGGACGAGGGTTCGGCTAGCAAGGTTGGTAATAATTTAACGAGCCTGTTACGCATAACCAGCGTGGACGTTAAAATTAAAATTACGAGTCGCACGCCAATCCGAATTACGTTATTCTGGATCGTCGTTCCGCTCGACTTATCATTCGCGGAAAGAAAGAAATTTCTCAAGTACGCCAACTGTCGATCTCCTTTCTTTTCCTTTATTTTTCATTATTTTTCTACTAGCAGACTTTCTAACGGGGCTTAATGACAGTACGTCGCTGAAGAGACTCTTCAAGAGCAGCCTGGATACGCTTTCAACACCTGTTCTGTCATTTTAGTCTTATTAAATCTGCCCCATCGTTGATAACGGATCGTTCGCTCGTTCACCGATAAATTTTCACTATGCTTGGTTAATTGAAAATCAAAACGGAAATATTTACTCGGGAACTATGTTAATTATTAGTTGATCGTAATGTAATACACATATATGTATGTCGATGTTTACCATCATCGAGATATTTGATATTCGATATTCAAAGTTTCAGGAGCGAACATACTGGTTCTTAAAGAAGTACCATCTGGTTAGTGGGATTAATATAGATTGAGAACTGGAATCGAGTTATGTTAATTAAATCATACGAGTCGGTAGATTCGTATCTTGCAAAGAAATGCTTTATATTTCAAGTAACTGTGATTGATAATCAATGAACCGGAATATGACTATTTAATCCTTAAACTGTTGAATATTTTTGAAGAACGAGTTATGTCCCATTTCAACGCTGAATATCCTTCGGTTTTAATATTCCGAGAATATGCGTATGCTAAATTTATAGCTGCATTATTTACATATAGAACTTTTATATCTCTGTTTAAATTTCACGTCGCCGAGAATTCTCAAGAATTTTTCATCGGATGATGAAAGATCGAAGAAATATTAATTGCTGGCAACAGGATAACGAAATAAGCGGAGAAGGATAACGGAAATGCAAGGTATAAAAAAAAGATAGAATGCGAGTTGCATACAATATGCATTTACCTGCATTATGATGGCCGCTGAGTAAGCGGCTGACGCACGGAACAAATTGCGATTTCGAAAGGAGATTATTTCGTTGCGTTTCTGAATTGATACAGATCTTAGATCAATGGGAGGAAAGAATTGCAGTTGCATTTTGGACGAAAGAATGCAATTTTGTGAAAGTTTAGTATCTACGCCAATATTCCGAAGGTGTTTTAATTCACGATGTAGGGAATAATAGAATAATCTGAAATGAAAAATTAAAGGTTTAATTTCTATCGTAGAGAATTTGAGGATAAAAAGACTATAGGAAGTCGTTAACACACCCACATAAGACTCGAATCATGTTCTCTGTTCTCAGACATGTTTCCAGCGTGCACGATTTCCTCCTGAGATTATTCGAAATCCTGAATCAACAAGAGTTGTTCTTGTGGAACAAGAGCAAAGGGAAGATCGTAGATATTTCTTGTAGCGTTTATCCTTCAAATTCATCTGAATGTTTTGGTCAAAATACCTGCATTAGAATTATTTTGAAATACCTTGAGGCTATTTAATAATTGCAAATACTAAACAAATTTCATACTTTAATTATAACACATAAGCTGCAGGGAGAAAAATGCAAAAGCTCATGATAATCGACTAAATTTCAAAGAAAGTTGAAAGAGCTTTTGATGGACAGGCTCGTCGAAGTAAAATGACTACAGATCCAACAAGCCTAGATATGTCTTTGTTTTGAAGGGGTGATCCAGCCCTTCTCTCAACATTAGAAATGATGGTTTCACCACCAAAACCGGTGGGGCCATCAGGGCCGCTGGCGTCGGGAGTGGGGGCTCCAGGCGCCTTTGTACGCAGCCCAAGAAAAAGCCGGTACCGGGTGCGACCCCCGGTGTCGGCTACAGGGTAGGCAGCAAGGGGAGGTCTCAATTTGGACCTCCCCCGAGATGGGCACCTGTGTGCCAGGCGTTGAAGGCACCGGAGTAATACACATAAAATTATGGAGCCTTTCTTTAGCGCCAGTGTCGGTTGCCGTGGGGTTTTAGTCAGTAGGAATCTGACACTCCCCCGCCGTCCTCCCCCAGGGGACGGTGGGGGGTCTTATGCAAGATTTCCCCACGTTAAAAAAAAAAAAAAAAATCTGCAGACATTGATTCCAGGAAAGGTAGCTGGCTCCGGCACCGTTGTCAACCGTTCCATCTAGAGTGAAGTGAAACACCTTCAGTCTTATAGCGACCGCCGAGGGGTGCAGATCTACCTCCTAAACATACATTTAATTTTCTACGTTCATTTAATTTGCTGTATTCATCTTCTTAGCTTATTGAATAAACTCATCAGGAGGACGAACGGGTTGATTTATTACTCCCGTGTGCATCCTTTACATCCCTCTTGCAACCCTGTTTCCCTTATCGACAACAGCGCCCCCTAGTGCCAAAAAATGGAACTAAAGTACGAATAAATTTAGCGCTCCCTGGTGGACACAATTTGAACTAAAATTTTCCCGAAAAAACAGCGCCCTCTAGCGGCAAGAAAAGGAACTAAAGCTCGAATAAATTTAGCGCCCCCTGGTGGACAAAATTTGAACTAAATTTTTCCCGAAAAAGCAGCGTCCCCTCGTGGCGAAAATTTGAACTAAATTTTGCACGATTTCTTTCTCTGTGATGCAGGGATACCAGAGATGCATGTAAGGAAAGCAGGGGTGTAAACGATGCAGTGATATAAGGGATTCGGGGATGTAAGGAATGTAGAGATGTAAAGGATGGAGAGATATAAAGAATTCAGGGATGTAAAGGATACGGAGATGTAAGGAAGGCAGTGATATGAGGGATGCAGTGCTATAAGGATACAAGGAATACGGAGATATAGTGATTTAGTGGTAATTCTCGTAAGGATCATAAAAAGAATGAAGAAATAAATATCTACGAAGGGAGGCCTTGGTCCATAAAGAGGAGTAGGATAATAAATAGTTAGGGTGCGTGGGTTTCGCTCAGAAAGAAGGATAATATAATAAATAACTGGAAAAAGTGAGACGGGGTTCATAAGGAAAGGTAAAATAATAAGGGAGTAGTCGGACAATGTCCAAAAGAGGGATGAAATCTCCGAATGGAAATTAGAAGTATATGTACGTTTGATAGTTTGATCCTTACCCCACGGCGGCCGCTATAAGACTGAGGAGTTCGCACCTCGTTCTAGGCGTAACTTCTCATATTGAGAAGTAATTAATGTGTCCTCCTCCACGCTCCTCCGTGTCAGGGGCGACGGTCCTGATATGAAATAGCTTTCGAATCGCCGCCCCTTTATCCTCAGCCCGGTCAACCATACATCCCTGGCGTATTCCTCGATTGTTGCAAAATGCGCGATCCCGTTTGCGCGTTTTGCAACATTGTTGCGCGCGCCAGAGAAATTGATTTTCTCGAAAACAAAGGCATGTCCAGCCTTTCGTATGTGTAGCCACTAGTGGTGTCGTTTGCTGGCCAACATCGATCATTCGCTTTATCGACATCTCGATCCTCGAACCGGTCAGAGGACAGTGAGCAGAGCTGACATCAGCCACGAAGGATCTAGGAATCTTTTGGTCGTCTCTCGATCACGCCTGATCGGGCCCGAGAACGAACGGTCCTCGAATGCGAACGGAACGGAGAGCTGTGTTCACGTTTTATCGCTCGACGATTCCTGCCACGATTCCCGGCATTGTTTTCCACGTGAGAACAAAATGTGAGAACCCTCGACTGTTGCCTGCGGCTTCGTTAACCTTGGCCTATCGATGGTATACGTTGCAACGACCAAGTTTTTCGACGGATTTAAAAAACTTAAAATAACAAACTTTTGAGCGCCATTTGCTTCCAGACTTTAGCCTCTACACCGCATTTCTATTTATTACGTTATGAACTAATTATAATTTGAAAATAGAAAATTTTTATTTTAGAAACTGTAAAATTAGAGCTTTGAAATATTATTTTCTTAGTAATTTGAAGTGGCCATATTTTTAATAATTTCTAATTAGGTACGCTTTTCAAAACTTTTTCATTATACGTCTTGCTACTTAACTCCAATTTCACTAGTGCAGTTAGTCATACAGTTACAAGGTGTCAGACCATGTACGGCCATTTCTACTGGAGCTTTCTATACTAGAAGGCTGATAAAAAATCTTTGAAAATTTCCTTCTAGCACAAGTCAACTTGCAAAAGAATCAAATTCACTCGTGAATAGAATGCCGAAACAGCGTACGATTTTCATTATTCCGAAAAAAGGATGCCTCGGGAGAATAACAAATTCATATGTCGGTTGATAAATATTCATAGGCAATATGCAAATATACCAGCCTTATCTTCTCTTGTATCTTCGTATACAAATCTTTATATCTTCCGTGTTAGCGATGATCATCGCGACGAGAAACGATCATTTCGTGTCCAGTCTGTGCGCGCTTATTCTTTGCATATTATTTAAATGCTTCGACTTTTTGTTCGACAAGATTTACGACTATGAACAACCATTCTTTTGGTGTGTTTTCAAATCGTAATGGAAAACTTCCTACGATTTTACTCTCATTTTCTTCCTTTTCGTTTCCACTTTAACGAGTTC